CCAACGAGTGACATCCTTGGAAAATCTCTGGGAGAAAAGGGGCAGCTGCAACAGATATCATTGCTTTAGAGGGGTTGGCAGGCGAGGGAGCTTTTCATGTACATACAATGAGCAGAGAGAACAGATGGAAGCGTGCATGGAGGGGAGGGAGATGCACAATGACCCAGGCAGTGTCGAGGAGATGAGATTCTCCTCCTTCCCGTCTTCTGGGAAAGAGGAAGCTGTTTAGTCTATGCCCTTCTCTTACTTCTTTGTTCCACTAGATTGTGGCTCTGTGAGGCTAAACTGGTCGTTTACAGCCAGTGTCTGTTCTGAATTCTAGTCTATTCTGCACGGCCAGTGCCCAAGACCTGCTGCTGGTAAATATGTGTGACGTCACCCCTACCCGCCTCGCAGGGTTGCTGTAAGGTTAATGAACATAACACATGGAATCTGCCCAGCACATGTTAAGCATTCAATCCACGAGGATCAGAGAACCGCATCTGATGCTCGGGTTTGTGGCTTCGATAGAGGATGTCCTCAGCACAAGCCCACCGAGATGTCTCAAAGTCTCTAAAGTAGGCACTTAAAGTCCCTCAGGCCCGTTCCAGCCCATAAATATTGTGACCTTTATCAAACTCCAGCCAACTCCCCCTCCCCAAACACCACACATTTTCTTATGGAACAACTGAGAAGCCTCAGTTGGACCCAGGAAATTTCTCATTTGTTCTCCTCCCTCTTTTGAGAATGCACCTGCCCTGGAGGAGTGGGAAGGGGTAGGGTGGGTTGCCATAACAGTAAATTCAGACCACCAGGTATCTCCTTCTTCAAACAAGGCTTTGGACTCTAGTGTTTCAAGTATGGGTCCAGGGTCCGAATTCTCTCCGAAACAGAACTCCGGTGAGACTTCACACCCACTATGCATTTTATTCTGGATCCTTTCACTCCCTGCTTTTTTGCAGCTCCCCAAGTGGCTGTGAGAGTCATGAAGCCACAGACAGTTCACCAGGATAACTCTTTGACCCATGTGTCTGTAGGACCCAGCACAGCACCCTGCCCAGCGAAACATGCAATCAATAGTTGTGGAATGAATGAACGAATGAATGATTCCTTCTTGGTCTGGACTTCGTGCTTCACGAAGCCTCCTTTCTGCCCCTTCCTCAGAGCCCATTGTGGGTCTGCCAGCCTTCTGGACTCCAACAGTGCTTACCATCTGCGCCTGTCCCTTGGCCAGGAGCCAAATTCAACTCTGGTTCAATTCAACCAACTTCCATGGAGCTGCACTATTGTCAGGAAGCACTCACAGTCTCAAGGAATGGCGAGAGCATTTCCTAGCCCATGGCGCCTCAATTGTACTTTTAAAACAAACTTGGCATGGGACAGAACCTTTTCCGAGACTTTTTGAAAGTCTAAATACATGATTATAAATTACTTCCCTTTGTCGACACACTTGATTACCATCCAGGAAGTAAGTGAGTTCTAGACTAGGATGGATAAACAGATGATTATGTGACAGGTATGGAGGCAGGTTTGGGAGTGGGGTGGGGTGGAAGGGTGGGGAGGAATGAGACTGAATCCTTGTCTGATGTAGTTTCATTAAGTGTGGTGGGGAAATGGGGTTGGCATCTCAGCCATTCAGGGCTGGCCTGGGACTGGGATTTGAAGGGATGCCCAGCAGCCCCCTTGAGTGAAAAGAAAGCCAGAATCCCCACACATACACCTGTTGTTTTTTGCTGAGGGTTGGGCCTTTTAAAATTTTATGACTAGTCTCCATTCCTGATTCCACCCCCTTCTCCACATCTCCTGCCCCACCATGCCAGTCTTCTGTAAATTAGTAATGTGTTCTCTCTCTAGCAATTATTTCATTTCATGGAATTAGAGTTAGCTTTGTATATATTTATATAATCATTTTAGCTCTTATTGTAAGATTTCTGGTTATTTGCAGGGTTTTGCTTTTCAAAATAAGCTGTTCTTCAAATTCAAGGGGAGGAGATGGTGTCCACTGCTGGTGAGGACCTCAGGCCCAGCCAAAAAGATTGGATTTCATTAAAGAAGCAAAAGGAAGTGACTCTGGGTTTCTGAACATAGAAGGGAATTGGCAGAAGCGGTATTGGAAGACTTAGGACGGCTTGACTAATAATTCTTTGACGTTGCAATAGTACAAAAACAATACATGTTCTTAGAAAGTGTACTTGAAATTGTTTTGAATTTGGATCTCTTCCCAGACTGGCTGTACGTGTTCTGATTCACTCTCATTAATAACCAATACACTCACAGCCATTCTGTTTTCAGCACAGTATTCAGTAAGTTACACGAGACATTCAACACTTCATTATCAAATAGGCTTTGTGTTAGATGACTTTGCCCAACTGGAGGCTAATGGAAGAATTTTGAGCATGTCTACCATAGGCTAGGCTAAGCTGTGTTACAGGTTAGGTATAATAAGTGCATTTTCGATTTAAGGTCTTTTCAACTTACGTTGGGTTTATTGGCACATAACCTCATTGTAAGTCGAGGAAGATCTGTATTCTAGCCAGAGCAGGGCGGATTGGGTTACAGTCAGGGAGATCTGCCAGAAGACTCTGCAGTTTGCCTATTTGACCTGAGGTAATGAGGGCTTGGGTTAAGCTTATGGTAGCAAAACCAGAAAGGAAGGAGGGGGTGGATCTGAGAAAGAATCAGACCTAGAGATTCAGATTTGGCTACGTACACGTCAGGTGGTCTGTGAAACCATGTAAGGAGAAGCTTTCCAAGGAAATGGATGTTAAGAGAGAAAAGCTGAGGACTGAGTCTTCAGGGATTCCAACAGTTAACGGGAGGAGGAAAGGAAAGAAGAGGAGCCAGCAAAGGAGACAGAGAATGATGGCTCAGAGAGATAAGAAGAGAAACTTGAGACTGCAATGCCATGAGAGCCAAGGGTAGGACACTTACAGGAAGGAGTGGGTGGTTGATAGTATCAAATTCATCCTTGAGGTCAGAGATGCAAACTGAGCAGAGACCCTTGAATTTGGTCAGGAGGTCGTTAGCGAACTTACAGAGAGCGGTTTGGCAAAATGTGCCAGAATCTAGAAGGTTCCACGGCAGGGAGAGGTGAAAAAATGGAGGCAGTTCATGGATACCGTCCATGTGACAAGAATAATGTGTTAGGAGTGAGAAGAAGAAGGTTAAACTTTATCATTCTAGTCCCGCTACTTAACTACTTGAACTCCTTTCCTCTTCTGAAAATGGGAATAATCCTATATTAGTCCATAAGGCTGTTGAAAGTACAACAGAAATTTAAATGATGACTTTTATGTGACAGCGAAGGGGCTTCTTCCTCACCCCCAGACCCCCAAGCCCTAGAGATTTCAGGGCATGATGTAATAGGTAACCGAAGTCTTTTAGTTTTTTAGTCCTGTCCCTGGTTTGATACTGTTTTGAGAATTTTCTAGTTGTGTCCTCTGGCATTCATGCCAAGTCACTTTAACAATTCTTTCCTGAGCCCGTTGGAGTTGAGGACCTTGAGGTAAGGTGGTTGGGAGGGAGTCAGTGTTCAGGGCTACGTGGAATGCCTCTGAGACCAGGGTAGAAGCTATTAAGCAGGGCTCTGTTTGAGACCCTGGATATAGTCCCCAGTGTGCCAATCTCACCCCAAGATGCAGAAGCTTGCATTCTCTGAAGTGCAGCTGGGGCAGAGGCACCCAAAAGGCCTCCTTTTTTGACCCATGGCACCTGCAGACTGAATGGCTGTTGGACCAAACTGTCTCGAACAGGCAGCTTGATTCTCAAGGCGTGCATAAAGACATATCCTTTTTTCATTCCTTCTATTCTCACTCGGTAACCAGACCTGATCGGCACGATCTCCTGTTGTTCATTTTTTTTTCCTATTCACTGTCTACAAATCAATCCTTTGGGTATGTTTCCTTGGTGAAGCCCAGGCTATTGGTCTCAGTGCCTTGCTTTCCCCTAAAAGAAGATACCCTCTGGGGGAAAAATGGCTGCCTCACAACAAGCCGGCAGGGCCTAGGCCTGGAGGGGCTCAGGGCTGGGGGCCGGAGGGCCTAACCGGACGCAGAGAAAGCAGGTGTGCGTATTCTCTAGAAGACGCACTTTTCACATCCTGATACATCTAGAGACTGTCATCCAAGGGCCTTTTTAATGTCTGTGTTCCTTTTAATGGAAGAACTTGGTTTCATTTCTGGGAAGAGGGCTTGCTGGCGGGAAACAGGGTCACATCGTGGAAGGTATAGTCACATGCTAAGATGTGTAGGCCTCTCTAAAAATGGGATAGGAGGTCGGGGCAGGGGTCCTTCCAAGGAGGCGGGTGTATGTCAGCCCCCCTTCTGGGAGACCAGGGAGTCGTACTCTGCTTCAGCCACCCAATTTGTCCTGAGCATCTTCGGAATGAGATGCTCTCCTCCTCTGCGCGGGGGGGGGGGGGGAGGGGAACGGGCTGGAAAGATAGGCCAGGGTCCTTGTCTGTGGGAGCAGTTGCCATAGGACGTGGACAGGCGGCCTTGGCGGCCCCGTTATGGGCAGGCAGCGCAGATGGAAACCCCGGGGGGCAGGGCTTGTCTTGGGGGGCCAGATGCTGTCTCTGGGCCAAAGCCGGGCCTGCAAGGGCAGGTGGCCAGAACTTGGAAGGAATTCTCTTCCGCAGCCCAGGGTCCAGGCTTGGCCCCGGCTAGCTGCCCTGCCAGCCTCCGCTGCCTGGGGCCTAGCGCATTCCGCGCCCCCGCCCGTCCGCCCCTCCGGGGGCCTCGCCCCCTCCCTTGTCCCCTTCTCCTCCCCCCACCAGCTGTCCCCTTTCCCCGGAGCGCCCAGACAGCCGGAGCCTGGGAAGAGGCGGCCTCGGCCGGAGGGGGCGTGGTGGGGAAGGGGAGGAGGGCGGGGGTGAGGGGATAAGGAGGCCCGCGCTGCCCGCGCCCCCAGCCACTGCCCGCGCGGGAGCCGGGTGCCGCCGCCGCCTCTTGCCCGCTTCCCCTCGCCTCGGGGGAAAGGTCAGCAGCGTCCTGGAGCCGCCGTGCCCCTCCCCGACAGCCATGAACTGCAGTGAGAGCCAGCGGCTGCGCACCCTCCTCAGCCGCCTGCTGCTCGAGCTGCACCACCGGGGCAACGCCAGCGGCCTGGGCGCCGGCCCCGGCCCGAGCATGGGCATGGGGGTCGTGCCCGACCCGTTCGTGGGCCGCGAGGCGACCAGCGCCAAGGGCGACGACGCCTATCTTTACATCCTGCTCATCATGATCTTCTACGCCTGCTTGGCCGGAGGCCTCATCCTGGCCTACACCCGCTCCCGCAAGCTCGTCGAGGCCAAGGACGAGCCGGCCCAGGCCTGCGCGGCGCACGAGTGGGCCGCCGCCGACGCCGAGACTGCAGCCGGCTCGCCGGCCGCCGGCCGCCGCCAGCTCGCCCCCGGGGCGCCTACCACCCCGGCCACGGGCACGGAGGGGGTCTAGACCCGCCGCCCCACTTGCCCCTCGCGCGCGCGCTCTCTTCAGCTGCCGCGTCCACCGCGGGCGCGGTGCCCTCCTGCTCCTTTCCTTCCCTTCCAGGCGCCGCCTCACCCGAGGCCCAGACAAGGAAAGGCCCGCAGACCTTGTCTGACAGGCTCTGGAAGAAGCACCCCCTTACCCAGCCCAGCCAGGTTTCTCCCTCCTCTCCCTCCTCTCTCCACCCCCTATTCCTTCCCCCCGCCCCGCCCCCCACACCCAACTGCACTAAACTGCCTCTGCTCTCTTGTCTTCAGACAGCCCTGACAGCACGCTCCAGCCCTCTGGGAAACTGAACCCACAACGTCCAACACCTGGCATTGAAGGGGAGCCATGAAGTCCATCAGAACTCTGGTCCGTCTAACGGGCAGCTGCTCCAGGGCCTGCCAGGGACTGCTCGCTCTGCAGAGCCAGCGGGCTTGCCATCGCTGCCAGGCAGGCCGCAGCAGCTCCAGCTTCTTGTTGCCTTAGGGACCAAGACAAAGAAAATCAAGAGACCTCAGACATCTTTCTCCTCCCTCCCTCTTGCCGCAGGGAGCTCGCAGGACACTAGGACCAGTCTGTGGGCTAGAATGGACTGAATGGGGACTGAAGGGGGAGGGAAGCTCAAGGGCAGGGGAAGACCTATGACCCCAACTGTATGGCTTTCTTGCATCCAGTTCTCATCCCTAAGGTAACTTGCCCGATTTTGAGCAGCTCTGCCGTCTTCTGATGTGGGTAACCATGGTTGGGTGTATCCCCTCCGTACCTGCAAATGCCCCCACCCCCCCCCCCCCCCCCCCCCACCCCCCCCCCCCCCGCTCCGCTCTCCTCC